CCTCAGTTCATCAGGAACCGAGGCGAAATCCTACCGCTTTTTGTCTCGGTTTACAACCGAGGCAAAAAGGGGTAGACTTTTTACTTCGCCTATATATGCCTCGGTTGAGGAACCGCTGTCTGTGGGCAAAAATAACTGTTGTCATTTCCTTTGACTGCACTAGTGATAACATTAATCATTATCATTTTATATTACTTTAATAACTAGGGACATTTTTGGAAATCTTCAATTTTTACTAATTAAACAATTTTTTTATGTCACATCAATCAAATCTTATACTAATTTTCACAAACTTTACTTTTAAATTCATCTTCAATCACCTCCAAATACACCAACAATCAATTCACCTTCAAATCCCTTCAAATTTATTCACTCACCTACCCAAGTCAATCTTGTAAAATGAACATGTACAAGTAAGTTCTTAAAAATAATGTTGAACCAGAATTGAAGAAATATTATTTATGTATTATGATTTTATCTTGAAAATTGTAATAATTTGCCGGCACAGGAATTTAATATGATAATCTGGCTATAAAAGACGTAGGGACTACAACACAAAAAAAATCATAACTAGTTATAGCTACACCTATATTATTGCGAGTCACAATTGCTTGGCATATATAGGGAAATAGAGGGACAAAGATGATGACATCGCCTCTACAAGTTGCTAAATTTGACAATTGACAACGCATGAGTCAATTTATAGCACAGTGATTACTCTACCACTTTCGACTTTCTTCTGTAAGGATAACACAGTTCCACAAATAAACCTTTCACTGTTTCCAACCAAACATAAACATCGTTGCCCTAATACATTTTCAACATTCTGCAACATCTCCCATACCTTTATCTTTATACAATTGTTAATTGAAACCAAAAAAACGACATAGGATTAATTTCATAGTATTTTTGTAATAAAAGTTGGAAGGAAAGAAAAGAATATGGAGATATATATGTTGCAGAGTGGACGTGGAAGGTTTTGTCGTACTGGGAAAGAAACAATGACCTGTAAGGGAAAGAGAGAGTGGCATGCTAAGTCATTGGTTAATTAATGGGATGATGAGGTCACAGGCACATTTATTCTAACAGTTAACGTAACGTAAGAGAAGAACGAAGGTGTGGGCTATGGCTACTAGTCAACTCTCTTGAATATGAATGAATCATTTCTTTTTGTTGCTTTGTTTAGATACTTGTCAAGCTCCTTCCCACAGCCCACGCCACTAAGATTCCAATCATCATCCACTTTTAGGGCTGTCACCCTACCACACGTCCTACAACCATGTCATTCATCACACATCTACAACGATATAGTAACCCTAAACCCACAAATATTTTACGCCTATCCCTTCAAGCAAATACCACACTTAACAAAGCATTTATAAATTTCGTTTTCGTGTCTTAAAGTTTAGTGGGTGCCCCACATGAATTGAAGTGACCATGGGATTGTTGAACCTAAATTTTGTAGGCCCACGACAAGTTCACACTTATAAATTTTTTGGTGTCACCACTTGAAAATTTAGAAATGACTTGTATCTGATTTCCATGTTAAGTTGTGTGCTTTACCATTCCAATTCGCATCATTTATGTCCCTCTTTTGTCAGGGAAAAGCCAAACTCGACACGTACTCATACTGATTAATTTTTGTGTTACGTACTAATCACAATTTTTTATTTAAGTATAAACTAACTTTAATTAATTTCATACTGATTAATTTATTTGTGCCTACACAAACTCTGATTACATGTCACATTTGTGCATCTGGCTTGTGCTTAGAATAGAGAAATGTACAGATATAGTGTATTATTAGACTGAGGCCAATACCACAGTTCCTTTGGTCAACACCTATTAAATATTTTCAATAATTCTGTTCTGTTCCCCCCTTCTTCACTCTTCTCAAAAGTTGAAAATTAATGTACAAAATTATTTTATATATTCCCAAAACTGATTTTTCAAAATATAAAAAGGATAACAAATGGCGAAAAACGAGCAAATAGAATTATCCATGAAAAAGGAAAAAAACAATAAAGAATTATAAGCATAATTCTTCCCTTTTTTTCTTTAGCCGTCACTAATTTTTGAACATAAAGTTATTTTTATATCAGAAATTTCAAAATGAACAAGTCTAATTATTTAGATCCGTTTCGTCGATAAAAATTAGTTACAGAATTTAATTTGTCTCGTCTGACGGATTGGCTCATTGAAAACTATATTGTTATTTTATAAAAAGTAATGTAAATATATAAATAATATAGTCTAAAGAATTTAAATTTTTTAAAATAAATTAGCATTGCCAACAATATATTTCAATTGTTTCAATGTTAAATCTTAAAACTTCTATAATCAAAACTTTAAACATATTTTTTTTTAACTTTTTTTTAAAAGGACATATTGATTAGTAGACAATATGATTGGTAATTTTATATATAGGGCCATTAAAATGAGAGTATTGCTTTCTCTACCATCGCCAAATATTCTCTGCACCACCTCATACCTAATTTATCCTTGTATAAAACGGATGTCAATATCCATTTCACCTTTAATGGATGTTGACACCCGTGAACGGATATTGACATACAGATGTTGACATCCATTTAAATATTTTGACTTTTTTTTTATATTTTAGTTTATTATTTTTATTTTAAATTTTATTTTAATAATATTTTTTATTTCTGTAATATATTATAAAAAACAAAAAAATTAAATATTTTATAAATTAATTTCAAATATAAAAAAATTTAAATAATATTTATATATTAATTTAAAATACAATAAATTAATAAACTAAAAACAAAAAAAACCTTAATGGATGTATCGATATAGCACATCCGATTATAAGTAATTATATAAAAAATATTTAAATAATTAATTAAATAATAATACATAAATTAAATTAATAATAATTATTTTATTAAATAAAATAAAATTAATTTATATATAATGTAATAAATTAATTTATTTTATTTAATTAAATAATTATTATTAATTTAATTAAATTATAAAAAAATTTAATTAATTAGAATTAACGGAAGCGTCACATCTGTTGAAATGTTTTTTTTCTAATTTTTAGTTTATTTAAATATTATATTTTAATTAATTTATAAATTATTTAATTTTTTATTTTTTTATAATGTATTATTAAAATTAATTTTATTTTATTTAATTAAATAATAATTATTAATTTAATTAAATTGTAATATTTTTAGTTAATTATATTCAACGAATGTGTCATATTCCGGTGGCCACATCCATTTATGTTTTCTTTTTTTTAAAATTTTAGTTTATTTAAATATTATATTTTATTTAGTTTATACATTATTTAATTTTTTTGTTTTTTTATAATATATTACGTAAATTAATTTTTATTTTATTTAATTAAATAATTATCATTAATATAATAAATTAATAAACTAAAAATTAAAAAAAAATTATTAAGTTTAAACGGATGTAGACACATCCGTTGACGGATGTGGAGAATTTTTTCTGTAACGAATGTCGACATCCGTTGAAGAATAGAAGTGGGGTGGAGGATTTTTTAAAATATAAAGATTAATTTTGAAATTTAAAAAAAAAAAATGTAATGATGCAAGAGAGTAGTCTAGGATATAAGGAGTAACCCTCTTAAAATGAACGGTACCAACTGATTTGGTAGGCTTAGTTTTCAGTTAAATAAAGTGGGTTGGGCTTGGACAAAAACTAGTATGGACCATGGCCAGCTATAACAAGTTGCTCAAAATAACTATTCTCTATATTTGTCTGTCAACTCAATTGATTTTTCTTTCATGTGCCTCTAACATTAGCTTTTCTAAGTTTGCGTTGGATTTTTCAGTGATGTAATAGTAGTATAAAATGATATTACGAATAAAATATTTTTTAGTAAAAATTATTTTAAATAGTAAAAAAATTTTAATAAAATAATTAAAATAATATTTTTTTTAGGAAATTTAATTTTTTTATTTGAATATTATTTTTTTAAGAATATAATTTAGTCATGTAGTTTGCTATTTTTATAGTTATTATTACTATTATTATTATTATTATTATTATTTAACTTTTTTTACCTTTTATACAAGAATATCTATCTATATTACTGTTTTTTTACTACAGACCCACAAAGCTCATAACAAAAGGAAAGTGAATTCACTCTGACAATTTTATAGGTACGTGAAGGGACACAATCGTAAAAGTATATTTCACCACTCAAATCTTCTCACCCTTGATGAGATGAAATACTGAGCTTATTCTCCAAATATGGTCTTTTCCTCTCTCACAAATTAGTTGATACGAACGTGAATGACATCGCAATTCCGTCTCACAAAATTCCTGTGTATAGTACCATCATCGCATGCGAAAGAGACCTAATGGATCATGGATTTAGGGCACTCTCCTACAAAACCTTAAAATGTTAAAAGTTATATGAACACAATAATCTTTTTCTTTCCTAACTAATCAAGAGCCTCGATTCACTACTCTTCTTCAAAAACTCTAAATTAATGGTTTGTTTGATATTTCTTTTAATGTTATCAACTATAAATTTTATAGTTGTGCAAATGCATGAATGAAATCAAGTAAATATAAACAAAATACAAGTTGAAGCAACACTACGAGGAGATTTTGATTAGTGGATATTATTGAACAAGGTAAGATAGACATATTGTTTAAGATTGTCATGTTATATATGACATCAATTATCTTGTGACGAAGATTAAGTGGATCAAGTTGTCCAACTCGTAATTGAATCGTAACGTTTGAACTGTTACAATCTTAATATAAACTATATAACTTTGACATAGTGATAAACATTTATTCAAGAATTAATATCAGAACTGAATCACAAGTTTCTTTTCCAGTGGAAATTTTTTAAAGAGGACATTGATGCAAGTTGCTTTAATTCTCATGATAAAGGCCATGTGGGTCAAGTCATATTCAAAGTCATATTTTGCTTAGGTTCTATTTTTGATAGTATCTCCATTATAGTTTCTTCAACACACTCAACAGTAATATACAAAAACAAAAGTCTTCTCAAATTTAACATTAAAGAAAATATCCCAAATTCATACATTTGATGGATGTGTTCGTTTCTCTTCAATAAAAGAAAATTACAATAATTAAGAGAACACAAAATGACCCAGTTCACTCTCCACCAGCATCAACATTCAGTGTTCATTACCTAACCCTAAGAGTTCCTGAAATTGTCAAACATAATCGATCTTCTCAATTAAGAGTAACCTTGCTTGTATTTGCGAAAGAGCTCATCCGTTTTGGTATTCCTAAAGGCAAAGCAGCCAACCAAATAGACTGCAATTAAAGCAACAAGAGTAACGATCAAGATCACATTGGCCCTTCTCCACTCCACCCTAAGGGTTGCCAACAAACCAGCTTTGCATGAATCACAGTTGTAACAAAGTTGTGCTTGGTCGTTGCTCCATTTCATGCAATCCATGTCTTCTGCCGTGTTGATGGGGCTGATCCAATACGTCGGATTCACAAACGTGTAACCGCATTTTGTTGGAGGCTTGCAGCACCCTGACTGCATCAGATCAAAGTACAAAAAAGAATAAAGGTCAAAGCTGAAAGAACAACACGTGGTTAGCTAACTCTTTTAGCCTTTTCGTTCTCTCATTTTTCTTTTTTATCAGAAACCAAGATGGTTACTGGCAGAGCAAATTGCTTGGTGAAGAAGATTATGTTTTTAATTTCAAGGAATTAGTTAAATGGGATGTTATTAGAAAATGAGAGTTAGTTTATTTAGTTAATTACCTGAATGGGGGTTAGGTGTGCGTTGAAGAAGTCCTGCGCCGTTCGGTAGCGTTGATCCAACTCAGCACATATATTTGACGACATAAGACACCTTCTAACGTTGTCCCATCTGTTTGAGCTTCGTACTCTTCGACGAAGCCAAAGTGAGAAATCATCGATACGATATTCCAAGTAGGAGCGATTGGGTTCAATGTTGCCATGGCCTCTGAGGGTGACAGCATAGGTGAAAACCACCAAGCTAACAAGCAACAGAATAAGCACGAACATTGCAACCAGGTAGAAGACCAGAAGCGAAGGGATTCTCCAGAAGGCTCCTAGAAACCCTGCCAGAGCCACTACAAGTATGAGAACCCCCAAGATCATGACAGGCCATTGAAGAATTTTGACGCACGAATCTGCTGGCTCTGTTGTTAGCCAGATCCCTGCAGCAATGATTGGAATTGAGAGAAGTACCGCAACGAAGTTGATGGCCCCTATCACGTTGTTGCTGAGTGCCATTATGGTTATAATTACAAGGATGGTATTTGGTGGGGTTTGATCTGAGGTTTAATTAGATATTAGTATAGAGGAGTCATGCTTACTAATTAACCCCACGTGAATTTGTTCCTTACCTTCGATACTTGCATGTTTCTTTGGCAAAGTTATAGCATTTAATAATTGGGTTTTTCATGTTCAGGTCATATTCTAGGAAGACTTTTCGGAAAGGAATACCTTGTACATTAGTGCAAAGGAGAGAAAAAGTAGACAGCCATGAGAGCAATGTAGGTCTTTTGGACAAATAAGAAGAAAGAATCCACTCGTCCTCCTGCCTTTGCAACAGGGTTGTAGCTATTCTATCTTTTGGTATTAATATTTTATTTCAACTTTTTTAGGTGCATTACCTTTAGAAGTGGACTTTAAGCTTAACTCAATCCCACAAATCCGGCTTGTAGGGTGAGGTTTGCGCCCACTTATAAACTATGAATTGGTCTTATCTCTAGTCGATGTGGAACTTCCAACACCTCCATCACGCTGAGGTACATTTCGAGCGTGAGATTAGACATTTTTAATGGGTGGTCCAATAGCGGCCCGATAGTGGGTGGAACAATATGCCCAGCAAACAACAAATATCACTAGGATAGGCTCTAACCATGACTCTGATACCATGTTAGAAGTGGACTTTAAGCCTAACTCAACCCCACAAAACTGACTTGTAGGGTGAGGTTTGCACCCACTTATAAACTATGCATTGACCTTCTAGTCGATGTGGGACTTCCAACAATTACTGTCGAAATTCTTAGTATTAAGTTACACATTATTCTTGGCACCGATAAGTTACAAACAACACAAAATCATAACAATGATATCTCTGTTACCCCTCTCAAGGTGGCAGGAAGATTATGAAGACCTGAGAAACTTAATAAGATTTTTATTATTAAGAGCCTTGAGAAATTTTGAGAAACGTGATACTTTTTTATAGCTAAGTCAAGTATTAGAAAGATATTGACATGAAGGTCAGTATAGTATATTGATTAACAATATTGGTAGAAGAAGAAACATTTTATAGTGGAAAAACAACTTTTTAACGTGTATTATACGTTTCGGTTTCGAAAAAATAGAAACATATCAAAATGCGATGACATTTTCATAGTTTTGGTGAACTTATATGTCTCGATTCAATGGGAATCAAAACATAAAAGGTATTGCCTCAGTTCAATGAGAAACTAAGGCCTAAAACCCTACACAACCCACCTGCCTCCTCTGCAAATCAAACTTTTTGCATGACAATTTTTTCGAAAAAGGACTACCGCCTCGATTCTTTGACCACCCGAGGCAAAAGACCATGCAAATCCCTCAGCAACCTCGGATATCCACTGACAGAGTACTAAAAGGAACATACTACCTCGGTTCTGCGTTGAACCGATGTCAAAGGTCTTACCATGCAGCTGATAACTCTAAAACTAAATGTTCCATTTCCATTTTATCAACTTTATTGCCTCGGTTCTCTCTAAACTAATACCATAAGGTCTTTCAGTCTCGGTTTAACCGCGAGCTGAGGCCTATAGTTTGAACATATTTCCAAAATTCCATTTTCTGAAAGGCTTAAGCATCGGTTGGAATTATAATCGAGGTGGTAGGGGGTTTATTGCCTTGATTTTATACTTAACCAAGGTAATAACATTCTTTTGGGTTACATTTACAGAAACGTAAAATAGTTTCTTCTCACACGAACAATCTTTCTTCTTCCCCCACGAGCATAGCAGCCACCCTTGGGTGAACTGGGTTTCGTTTCCCCTCCATCTTCGTTCCTCCAGCACTGGTCGTTGTCGTCGTCTCCATCATTCATCGTCGTCATCGACACCTTTTGTTCGCGCCGCCATGATTGTCCCTTCTCTTGGCGCTGCTGTTCTTCTTTGCGTGGTAAGTTTTTTAGACCTTCTCCATTTTTGTCTATTTTTGTTTGTGTGTTTGATAGTAAATTGTTATGGGATTGATATAATGGTGATAGGAATAGCAATGGTAGTGTTATTTGTTGATGAGAATCCATGCAAGGGGAGAGGGGTTTAGCCATATGAATTGTAAAAATCTTATGATAATGTAAAGTAGTGTATAAAAATTACTTATAATAAAGATTAAACTCAAATATGTTTGTATTAAATTGGTTGAATGTAAATTGGTTTATAATTTTGAATTACGGATATAGAAATTAGGATAATAGAATTTTGAATTGTTTGTATTGAATTAGTTGATAATATAAATTGGTGTATAATTTTGAATTAGGGATATAGAAATAAGGGGAATAGAATTTTAAATTGTTTGTATTAAATTTGTTGATAATGTAAATTGATGTATAATTTTGAATTAGGGATATAGAAATTAGGGAATAGAATTTTGAATTGTTTGTATTAAATTGGTTGATTTTGTTATGAAATAAACTTGAAGGTTAGAAATCATGAGACTAATTAATATGTTGTTTGTTTTTGTTCAGATATTGTATTTTTGTGGTGAGGTTTTATAGCTTTTTAAACGCAGACATTCTGCATTGTTGACCGGCTTTTGATGCTCAGAGGTTCTTATTCTTAAAAATTTTCTATTCATATGAACATGTAATTATTCCTTTTCTTAAATATATTGTTGTTGTAAATTAACCTAGTTTCCCATTTGAGATTCAATACAAAAATTATTTACTATCTCCAAAAAAATTTTGAACAAATGTACTTTTTACAAATGAATAGAGAGGAGATGGTAATAATAATTTACAAGTATTGAATTTTGAATTGTCCGGTTGAACAGAATAATAACTTATTCATAGTTTATTAATATATATAAATTTTAACGTACATGTCTTACATTTTATGAAAGTTTGCAATTATGTTTTTTTATTAATCTCTGATACATATTTGATTACAAGAAAAATCGTTATTACCTATAGCCCTAATATGTATGTAAGCTCAAAAATTCGTATATAATATGGTGTTACATACGGATTACATACGAATACAAATCCGTAATATCTGTATGTAAAATGGTCGTAAGTAATGTTACATACGAATTTATCCGTACGTAGTTACATACAAATAAATCGTATGAAAATCTGTATATAATTACATACGAATAAATTCGTATATAATTAGACACGAATAAATCTGTATGTAAATTTCATATGTAATTAAGTAAATAGAATTGTTTTCTCTTTTTGGCACATGCAAAGGGGTGATTTATAATGGGGCATGTGTACACTTTTATTTTCTTCAAAAGTTTGAGAGTATTTTGTTTTTCTCCATTGTTTGAAGAGGAGAACTAGGAGCAGATGAAAGGATGCTAATCAAACAGGTCTCTATGCTCAAACATATAAAATCAAAGGCAATAAAAAAGGTTCATTCGTTAACTTGTTTTTTAAATATTTTTAGACAACTTGGTAATGGTAAAACACAAACAGATTTGACAGTTTCACGATTGAGTCAGAAACAAATTCTAGTTCTCACAAAGTCAATAACAAAAGAGAAACAAAAAAAGGTTAAATTGCACACTATAACTATATGTAGTTCTAAGCTAAATCATTTTGAAAACAATAAATGTATGTGTCCACAATTAAAGGCATAGAATGGTAGTAACTTACAAATACTAGATGCCTAGACTTCACCATTCAACTAAAACAAAGGAGAAAAGAAGATTTTTTATTTCTTTTGAGCTAAATTAAAGTTTGAAAAGTCAAAGAAAAATAATTCGTTTTGATCTTTTTATGTACAATTTAATTGAAAACGTATTTTTATAATTTTTTTATTATTACTATTTTATTATTATTTTTATTATTTTTTATTATTATTATATATATTTTATTATTTATTTAAAAATGAATTGATAATCCGGACATTAGATGTTAACACTTCTAAAGAAAGTCATCATCAATTATCAAACCCTATAATATAGAAGCTAAAACTTCAATTACCTGACCTTTTTCACCTTATCTTAGATTTCGTTAGAATTCCCTTTCTCCCTTTCTGATGGGAGATTATAAAGGTTTCAAGAGATTAAATTTCTAAAACTTTACTTGTCACCGTACCAATCCTCTGATTTTTTAAATGGATTTAGGGAATAATCATCTTAATATAGAATTTGATCCACATGACAAATTAAAAAAATTTAGTTCCAAATCCACTCTCGTTTATCTTTAAATTCACTCAAATAAACAACAAAAAAATTTACTTTCAAATCTTCCCAAATCTCCTCAGCCACTCTCTCCAAATCCATTCAAATGAACAAATCTTTAATAAATTAAAATTCCAAATTATAAAACTGGTTGAAATCATCTTATGTAACTACTTTAAATCTTCCTAAGGAAAAATGCTATTTCATTTAACATTTATAAAAATTACTGTTTAGAAATATTTGAAGTACTTAAACTTTAGTAGTGGTGTTATCATACAAATAAAATGTTTTCTGATCCGTAAAATTATTAGTTATAGCAAGAACAAAATTCTTCGAATCCTTATAATGGTTTGTTTCCAAAAATGCATGACCAACGAAATATTTGAAGGATTAAGGATTTGTTTCCCTCGAATTATAAATGGGGTAATCATAAAGCTGCTGCTGCTGCAGCAGCAAAAGGATTTTGCCAAAAATAGTAACATACAACATATTCTTAGCATCATATCGAAGCATGATTATTATACAAAATTTTTTAAGAGCGTCTCAGTTTTAAGTGCTCAAAGCAGGTTCACTTAGATTCCTGGTATCGGATACTGAGTAGTAAGAGCTTCAACTTTCCTGCGCAATTCTGAGACCTTCTCCCCCAAGGGAAATTCAGAAGATGATACAAACTTCAAAAACTCTTGGAGCTTCGTTCCTGAGACCAAACTTTTGGCTTCAAGACTTATTTGCACTCCCTCATGAATTAAATCTGCAATTAGTGCGAATTCTTTTTCACCAAGTCCTCTTGTTGTCATTGCAGGTGCCCCAATACGAATGCCTCCCGGAACAAGGGCACTCTTATCACCTTTTATAGTAAGCACATGTCAGAAATAACGGGACATAAATATCACGGTGAACAGGCATAGATTCCAAACTGGTGCACGCAAGAAACAACACGGCAATAAGATCTCACCAGGCACTGAATTTTTGTTGAGGGTTATCGAAGCCATATCAAGAATTTTCTCCACCCGAGCACCATCAAGACCCTAACAGACATGTTAATTAATATGAAACATAGTTAACGTACAAAAATGATCATATATCAACTTGGATATCATGCCTTTTTAAATTGAAACATGTCAATCTATAATGGGTGCACGAGCGGAAGAAAGTAAAATATATTCTGACACAAAAGAAAGGAACAAGAAGCTTACAGAAGGCCTTAGATCAACAAGAACCAGGTGATTGTCGCTACCACCAGAAACAAGTTTATATTTGTGCTCAATTAACCGCTGAGCAAGAGCTCTACAGTTAGCAACCACCTGCAGGATAGTATTGTTATGAGTGTCAATAAGTGCTATGTGCCAAACTCTATATATGGCTATGCACGGTTCACTTTTTTCTTTTTAAATCAAACCAAACCACTCTAATGAACTGGTTTTGTCCAAATGGATCTTTGCACAGTTCAAGTTCAGTGATAAAATAAAGTGACTTTAATGCTCTCTGATTCATGAAGGTCAACTGATAATATGTAAACCAAACAAGCAAACTGTGCACATATTAAGAAGCATGCGCAATGCCTATTAACTCCAATTAGTTTGCAAAAAGAATCTCAACTCTAATTTATTGATATCCTATATATAGCCTATATCCAGATTTGTTTTGAAGTAGATTTTGGACCTTTCTGAGTACCTACTGGGAATCTGCATTGTCACGTAAAATGGAAAGTCAGAAATGCTGACTAAGGCCTAAACCCGACTCTACCTTAATAACTGTAATTTGGAAGCTAAACTTCTAATCGACACAAATGGGGTAGACTTCATAATTTTATTTTTCTGCTAAATTTTCTGTTACTGATTCTATGATTATGAAGTGGTAGGAAGGGAATACCTTCAAAACATACAAGAGAAATGGTAAAACAAAATAGCATTAGCGTTATGCACTTCTTAGTGACACGTCTATATCCTCTAGTTTTGGATTGAAAGAGTTGGAAATACAAGCGAATCGTGCCTAATATAACATCTATCTTCATTCCGTATTTATTCCACAGGACCATGAGGATAATTCTAGTGATCAGATTGGGTGGTAAAGCAATCTATTTTATTTCTTATCAATTCAGAGTAGCAACCTTGGTGGATTCAAAATTAAGCACCAAAAGGCTTTTTAAAATGATCATGCACACACCCTTATGTCCAATGATGAAATGGGCTATCGGTATACCTGATTCTGGTAATTTTTAAACTCTGGGGACTGGGCATACTTCAAGCAAACTGCTAGTCCTCCAATTGTGTGGTTATGAGGACCCCCCTGGACAAATCTATCACTATCAAATCACAGAAGCAGGAAGGTAAAGAGCACGGGTGCATCTAAACTCCATAGGAGCACAGGATCCGTGCACCTCAATTAGAATAGTATAAAACTATTAAGAGAATATTCATAATTTACCTGTAGACCGGGAAAAACAGAATTGTTAATGGCGGGCTCCAGATCAACCCCATGCACAGGATCTTTCTTGAAGAATATCATACCACCTCTTGGACCTCTTAAAGACTAGAAGAAAATATCCAACGNACGATATTCCAAGTAGGAGCGATTGGGTTCAATGTTGCCATGGCCTCTGAGGGTGACAGCATAGGTGAAAACCACCAAGCTAACAAGCAACAGAATAAGCACGAACATTGCAACCAGGTAGAAGACCAGAAGCGAAGGGATTCTCCAGAAGGCTCCTAGAAACCCTGCCAGAGCCACTACAAGTATGAGAACCCCCAAGATCATGACAGGCCATTGAAGAATTTTGACGCACGAATCTGCTGGCTCTGTTGTTAGCCAGATCCCTGCAGCAATGATTGGAATTGAGAGAAGTACCGCAACGAAGTTGATGGCCCCTATCACGTTGTTGCTGAGTGCCATTATGGTTATAATTACAAGGATGGTATTTGGTGGGGTTTGATCTGAGGTTTAATTAGATATTAGTATAGAGGAGTCATGCTTACTAATTAACCCCACGTGAATTTGTTCCTTACCTTCGATACTTGCATGTTTCTTTGGCAAAGTTATAGCATTTAATAATTGGGTTTTTCATGTTCAGGTCATATTCTAGGAAGACTTTTCGGAAAGGAATACCTTGTACATTAGTGCAAAGGAGAGAAAAAGTAGACAGCCATGAGAGCAATGTAGGTCTTTTGGACAAATAAGAAGAAAGAATCCACTCGTCCTCCTGCCTTTGCAACAGGGTTGTAGCTATTCTATCTTTTGGTATTAATATTTTATTTCAACTTTTTTAGGTGCATTACCTTTAGAAGTGGACTTTAAGCTTAACTCAATCCCACAAATCCGGCTTGTAGGGTGAGGTTTGCGCCCACTTATAAACTATGAATTGGTCTTATCTCTAGTCGATGTGGAACTTCCAACACCTCCATCACGCTGAGGTACATTTCGAGCGTGAGATTAGACATTTTTAATGGGTGGTCCAATAGCGGCCCGATAGTGGGTGGAACAATATGCCCAGCAAACAACAAATATCTCTAGGATAGGCTCTAACCATGACTCTGATACCATGTTAGAAGTGGACTTTAAGCCTAACTCAACCCCACAAAACTGACTTGTAGGGTGAGGTTTGCACCCACTTATAAACTATGCATTGACCTTCTAGTCGATGTGGGACTTCCAACAATTACTGTCGAAATTCTTAGTATTAAGTTACACATTATTCTTGGCACCGATAAGTTACAAACAACACAAAATCATAACAATGATATCTCTGTTACCCCTCTCAAGGTGGCAGGAAGATTATGAAGACCTGAGAAACTTAATAAGATTTTTATTATTAAGAGCCTTGAGAAATTTTGAGAAACGTGATACTTTTTTATAGCTAAGTCAAGTATTAGAAAGATATTGACATGAAGGTCAGTATAGTATATTGATTAACAATATTGGTAGAAGAAGAAACATTTTATAGTGGAAAAACAACTTTTTAACGTGTATTATACGTTTCGGTTTCGAAAAAATAGAAACATATCAAAATGCGATGACATTTTCATAGTTTTGGTGAACTTATATGTCTCGATTCAATGGGAATCAAAACATAAAAGGTATTGCCTCAGTTCAATGAGAAACTAAGGCCTAAAACCCTACACAACCCACCTGCCTCCTCTGCAAATCAAACTTTTTGCATGACAATTTTTTCGAAAAAGGACTACCGCCTCGATTCTTTGACCACCCGAGGCAAAAGACCATGCAAATCCCTCAGCAACCTCGGATATCCACTGACAGAGTACTAAAAGGAACATACTACCTCGGTTCTGCGTTGAACCGATGTCAAAGGTCTTACCATGCAGCTGATAACTCTAAAACTAAATGTTCCATTTCCATTTTATCAACTTTATTGCCTCGGTTCTCTCTAAACTAATACCATAAGGTCTTTCAGTCTCGGTTTAACCGCGAGCTGAGGCCTATAGTTTGAACATATTTCCAAAATTCCATTTTCTGAAAGGCTTAAGCATCGGTTGGAATTATAATCGAGGTGGTAGGGGGTTTATTGCCTTGATTTTATACTTAACCAAGGTAATAACATTCTTTTGGGTTACATTTACAGAAACGTAAAATAGTTTCTTCTCACACGAACAATCTTTCTTCTTCCCCCACGAGCATAGCAGCCACCCTTGGGTGAACTGGGTTTCGTTTCCCCTCCATCTTCGTTCCTCCAGCACTGGTCGTTGTCGTCGTCTCCATCATTCATCGTCGTCATCGACACCTTTTGTTCGCGCCGCCATGATTGTCCCTTCTCTTGGCGCTGCTGTTCTTCTTTGCGTGGTAAGTTTTTTAGACCTTCTCCATTTTTGTCTATTTTTGTTTGTGTGTTTGATAGTAAATTGTTATGGGATTGATATAATGGTGATAGGAATAGCAATGGTAGTGTTATTTGTTGATGAGAATCCATGCAAGGGGAGAGGGGTTTAGCCATATGAATTGTAAAAATCTTATGATAATGTAAAGTAGTGTATAAAAATTACTTATAATAAAGATTAAACTCAAATATGTTTGTATTAAATTGGTTGAATGTAAATTGGTTTATAATTTTGAATTACGGATATAGAAATTAGGATAATAGAATTTTGAATTGTTTGTATTGAATTAGTTGATAATATAAATTGGTGTATAATTTTGAATTAGGGATATAGAAATAAGGGGAATAGAATTTTAAATTGTTTGTATTAAATTTGTTGATAATGTAAATTGATGTATAATTTTGAATTAGGGATATAGAAATTAGGGAATAGAATTTTGAATTGTTTGTATTAAATTGGTTGATTTTGTTATGAAATAAACTTGAAGGTTAGAAATCATGAGACTAATTAATATGTTGTTTGTTTTTGTTCAGATATTGTATTTTTGTGGTGAGGTTTTATAGCTTTTTAAACGCAGACATTCTGCATTGTTGACCGGCTTTTGATGCTCAGAGGTTCTTATTCTTAAAAATTTTCTATTCATATGAACATGTAATTATTCCTTTTCTTAAATATATTGTTGTTGTAAATTAACCTAGTTTCCCATTTGAGATTCAATACAAAAATTATTTACTATCTCCAAAAAATTTTTGAACAAATGTACTTTTTACAAATGAATAGAGAGGAGATGGTAATAATAATTTACAAGTATTGAATTTTGAATTGTCCGGTTGAACAGAATAATAACTTATTCATAGTTTATTAATATATATAAATTTTAACGTACATGTCTTACATTTTATGAAAGTTTGCAATTATGTTTTTTTATTAATCTCTGATACATATTTGATTACAAGAAAAATCGTTATTACCTATAGCCCTAATATGTATGTAAGCTCAAAAATTCGTATATAATATGGTGTTACATACGGATTACATACGAATACAAATCCGTAATATCTGTATGTAAAATGGTCGTAAGTAATGTTACATACGAATTTATCCGTACGTAGTTACATACAAATAAATCGTATGAAAATCTGTATATAATTACATACGAATAAATTCGTATATAATTAGACACGAATAAATCTGTATGTAAATTTCATATGTAATTAAGTAAATAGAATTGTTTTCTCTTTTTGGCACATGCAAAGGGGTGATTTATAATGGGGCATGTGTACACTTTTATTTTCTTCAAAAGTTTGAGAGTATTTTGTTTTTCTCCATTGTTTGAAGAGGAGAACTAGGAGCAGATGAAAGGATGCTAATCAAACAGGTCTCTATGCTCAAACATATAAAATCAAAGGCAATAAAAAAGGTTCATTCGTTAACTTGTTTTTTAAATATTTTTAGACAACTTGGTAATGGTAAAACACAAACAGATTTGACAGTTTCACGATTGAGTCAGAAACAAATTCTAGTTCTCACAAAGTCAATAACAAAAGAGAAACAAAAAAAGGTTAAATTGCACACTATAACTATATGTAGTTCTAAGCTAAATCATTTTGAAAACAATAAATGTATGTGTCCACAATTAAAGGCATAGAATGGTAGTAACTTACAAATACTAGATGCCTAGACTTCACCATTCAACTAAAACAAAGGAGAAAAGAAGATTTTTTATTTCTTTTGAGCTAAATTAAAGTTTGAAAAGTCAAAGAAAAATAATTCGTTTTGATCTTTTTATGTACAATTTAATTGAAAACGTATTTTTATAATTTTTTTATTATTACTATTTTATTATTATTTTTATTATTTTTTATTATTATTATATATATTTTATTATTTATTTAAAAATGAATTGATAATCCGGACATTAGATGTTAACACTTCTAAAGAAAGTCATCATCAATTATCAAACCCTATAATATAGAAGCTAAAACTTCAATTACCTGACCTTTTTCACCTTATCTTAGATTTCGTTAGAATTCCCTTTCTCCCTTTCTGATGGGAGATTATAAAGGTTTCAAGAGATTAAATTTCTAAAACTTTACTTGTCACCGTACCAATCCTCTGATTTTTTAAATGGATTTAGGGAATAATCATCTTAATATAGAATTTGATCCACATGACAAATTAAAAAAATTTAGTTCCAAATCCACTCTCGTTTATCTTTAAATTCACTCAAATAAACAACAAAAAAATTTACTTTCAAATCTTCCCAAATCTCCTCAGCCACTCTCTCCAAATCCATTCAAATGAACAAATCTTTAATAAATTAAAATTCCAAATTATAAAACTGGTTGAAATCATCTTATGTAACTACTTTAAATCTTCCTAAGGAAAAATGCTATTTCATTTAACATTTATAAAAATTACTGTTTAGAAATATTTGAAGTACTTAAACTTTAGTAGTGGTGTTATCATACAAATAAAATGTTTTCTGATCCGTAAAATTATTAGTTATAGCAAGAACAAAATTCTTCGAATCCTTATAATGGTTTGTTTCCAAAAATGCATGACCAACGAAATATTTGAAGGATTAAGGATTTGTTTCCCTCGAATTATAAATGGGGTAATCATAAAGCTGCTGCTGCTGCAGCAGCAAAAGGATTTTGCCAAAAATAGTAACATACAACATATTCTTAGCATCATATCGAAGCATGATTATTATACAAAATTTTTTAAGAGCGTCTCAGTTTTAAGTGCTCAAAGCAGGTTCACTTAGATTCCTGGTATCGGATACTGAGTAGTAAGAGCTTCAACTTTCCTGCGCAATTCTGAGACCTTCTCCCCCAAGGGAAATTCAGAAGATGATACAAACTTCAAAAACTCTTGGAGCTTCGTTCCTGAGACCAAACTTTTGGCTTCAAGACTTATTTGCACTCCCTCATGAATTAAATCTGCAATTAGTGCGAATTCTTTTTCACCAAGTCCTCTTGTTGTCATTGCAGGTGCCCCAATACGAATGCCTCCCGGAACAAGGGCACTCTTATCACCTTTTATAGTAAGCACATGTCAGAAATAACGGGACATAAATATCACGGTGAACAGGCATAGATTCCAAACTGGTGCACGCAAGAAACAACACGGCAATAAGATCTCACCAGGCACTGAATTTTTGTTGAGGGTTATCGAAGCCATATCA